TGTGGGCGAGATGGTGGGAGGGTCATCTGTGGGCAGGAGGAGGGGCGGAATGAAGGCCATGCAGCCAGTGGCCAGGCGCCCCGTTCTGACTGGCAGTTGGGGGGGGCCAAAGGCTGTGGGGGCGCGTGGACACGAACAGCACTTTATAATAAGGAGAGATGTGCAGATCTTTTGTGAAATACTTTGATTCTGCTTTTCCATTGTATATGTTCAAGGCAGACGTCTGTATTTATTTACCTCCATTTATACCCTGCCTTTCTCCCTAATGGGGACCCAAAGCAGCTTATATTGTTTTTCTTCTCAGTTTTATCCTTATAGTGACAACCTTGTGAGGTAGTGAGGCTGAGACTGTGATTGGCCTGAGATCACCCTTCAAGCTTCCATGGCAGAGCGGGGATTCAAACTTGGGTCTCCCAGATCTTAGTCTGATACTCTGTTCACTATGTCCTACTGGGGAAAGGAAATATGACTACAATAAAATATGTATTGTTCCAGCATTCTTCTTCAGTAACTTTCGGAAGGGATAGAATCATCAGCATGCAGGTCAGGGTGGACTAGAATTGGTCTAGATGCCGATTTCTTTTGAGCCCCACCTACCACTAGATCCTTCTTTTTTACTTGGAGGTCTGCTACGGCTTTACAAGCAACCTAAACTAAGGTCTGGGGATTTATATAAGCAGCTGAAAAACTGCTTGAAGCACAGTAATTGGCTGCAGCTGAGAAGTGTACAGTACCTTACAGCTCATTAGGCCTCTACCTTTGGAGTAACTAGAATGCAAAACTGTACAGCTGGAGTTTTTCAAGGCATCTCTTCAAAACATAAAGATTGCAAGTTTTGCCATTTTACCCCTCCCCTATTCTACATAGCTGTTTTTACCAGGGGTTCAGAAATAGTTGGCATTCACTTTCTTATGATACAGTATTTGCTGCAAGAGAAGATTGTCTTAAAGAGACACTGATTTCTGTGTCTAGGTCTAGTCCCTAACTTAGTCTTCTGGAAGTAATGTAGCACCGGCTGCCATCATCAGCGAGTGGTATGCCTGTTTAGGGGTGTTCTTAAGACCCAACTTTGCAGACCCAAGTCTCACTAAACTGCAAAGACAGAGCCATGTTACAGGAAGGAGGGAGCCAGATTCACAACCTCCGTCAGGTCTAGTTCAAGACTATGGTCATGCAGGGAGCCGACCTGCAGGGACCGTATTGTCGTAAGGGACAGGCTTAGGGCCAGGGCCTTGGAAGGAATCATCTCCAACACAGAGTGATCTTGCCTTGCCATCCCGCTGCTCCTCTCAGTGGACAAATTATGAGGCAGCAAGGTAGCATCCTTCTGCTTTATGTGTACGGAAGATCAGCAGGACCTTCCAATAGATAGCAACAAATGACTCTGTAAATGCTTTGCAACCCAACAGGTGAACTCTGGACATACCGCCCAACCCTTGAGTTGAACACCACTAGTCTAGACAATCATGGTCCATTTCTGTGTTGGAAATTTTGGCATAATGATTTGTACAGGGGGCTTCATGCGTACCAGTTTCCTCTCTGTGGGATGGGGTGCCTTGTTCCCTGATTGTTTTGCTCTGAAATGAGCAGACTGAGGGGTGTGATCATCTATCTTAGCCCTCATCCCCATATGGGGAGCTAGAAGACACTGTGATGCTTCCTTCCCCTTCCGATCTTTTTAAAAGCAGCGCAGCAACCTGCATGTGACAACTTCTGAACTCTCAGACTCCTCCTTCTCATGAGAGCTTGACCCCCATTTCTGGCTGCATCTTGTCAGGGCCACCAAAAGGGCAGCTGAACTCCGACCAGGGGGAGGAGATCTCCCAAGAGTTCTGGAGCCTTTGCAGCTTGCCTGGCTGCTATTAAAGAAAGCCGGGTCAGCAAAGAGGGGAAGGAGGGTTATCTCCGGGGTGGCAAAAAAAGCAGCAATGCAAAAATGCAGCTGAGCTGCCAGTGCTTCAATCTGTTAGTGGTTATGGAAACCGAGCCAGAGGCCAGTACTTGTTTGTGCATTCTTTATAAGGGCTCCCACTCCTACTCCTTGCAGGTGGCAGATCATTTACTTGTCACCCTTTGCGAGCACTTACATAGTTCAGCTGTCTCGGTGACAGTGGACAAAATGGGATTGTAATGGGGTGCTAAAGTTAAATGCAGACCTCTGTAAAGCAGCCGAGGGCTGGAAATCAAGCTGTTGGTTGAAAATTGGTGGCTTTTCTGATTGTATGGAGGAACATTTCACTTGCATCCGCCTCTGACGTGCAACCTTAGAACTCGTAATGCTACCTTCTCATGCAGGTATAGTCAAAATTGCCTGGAGGGCCCAAAATAACAAGCACTCCTGGCTAGCTCATAAGACTATACTTTTCTACCAGAGGTCTGCCTCCAATCTAGTTACATCTTATATTAAGAACTGTCTGTTTGAGCTAACTGCACACCTGCGTAGAACAAGCTTCTACAGGAAAGAGTTCTGAGTAGAATCCGTACTGCGTGGTTGATATGTCGACAAGGGTCTGCTGTAAACTCTTCCAACTAGCAACTAGTTGGAAGCCATTTTACATCTTATGGACATGTTACACACAGCTTGCTAGGAGCCATTCCCTGAACACTTTAGGATAGGGGCCCCCAATGCATTTGAACCTGTGGGCACCTTTGGGTGCAACCACAGAATGGCCACCGTAGCAGGTGAAGCCAACCACAAAATGGCTGTTAACCAAAACAGAGCCAACTACAAAATGTCAGTAACTCCTCAACATGTCAGTAACTCAACATTTCAGGCAGAAGTTCTGTTTAATAGGATGCCTTTTTGTCTGCACAGCCAATCAGAAGCCCTGCCTGGCAAAAGCCCCACCTGGCTCTGCACACTTTCTTAAATCACTTGGTTGACACCAGAAAAGGTATTGGCAAGGTACCATGATACCCAAAGGCACCACGTTGGGGACCCCTGTCTTAGGCCTATACTGAAGCTGTTTTCTTTACAGTCATAAAAACATAAGAAGATCCCTGCTGGATCAGACTAACGGTCCATCTGTTCCACCATTCTGTTTCACACAGTGGCCAGCCAGTTCCTCTGGAGGGCCAACAACCGGGCACAAAAGCTGAGACCTTCCCCTGATGTTGCCTTCTGCCTCTGGGATTTGGAGGTTTAGTGCCTTCTGGGAAAAGTGATGTCATCCTCACATCTCAAAGCAGTGATCCATAACCTGCTTGCTTTAGTGAAAGCCCAAAGTGTGTGTGACTATTTGTAGAGGTAGACCAGTATCATATCAAATTAGACCCATGTAGTAAAATATCTTTTCTTCAGGGCTAAGAGCACTGGTAGAAAATAGCATCCTTCTAATTTATGACACGAGGAAAGTGGCATTATCAGACCATTTTACTTTATGTAGTGTATGTTTGTGTATGTTTGGGTTTTATGATGTTAGGGCTGCGGTTCATTCATGTCCTTGATGGGGTCTTTGGTAACTTGGGTTACCAAAGCTGAAGAAGAGACTTAAAGGCTGAGATTGTACAGAGTGGTAAAGTTCAGGAGTTGGTTCAGAAATGTGATAGGCCCTTTTTCGGAGTGTTTTTGTGTTTTGTGCATGTACCCCAACTGTAAGAAAGGGCTGCAGAGAGCTTTAAGTGGTCTGTGCAAATGCAACCACACCTATTCTACATGAGAGCAACCATATGGAAGACTGTCACGATTATCCTGAGTGTCTTTTACTGTGTTAAAAATATTTACTGTAGGCTAGATCCAGCAGCTCACTCACATGAGGGTCATGGATCGTCTCCACCTTCCCATCCCTCCCTCAGCAGCCATTTCTGACATGGGAAGGTTGGTTCTGGTGCTCAGAGATGGCTGTTCAGGGGAGGGGGAAATCCATGACCAGCAGTGCTTTCCCCTGATAGTGTTGCAGACTTAGGGCTGGATTGAGTCTCGGTCCTTTGCTGAAACTCTGCAAAACCTTAACGTCTGATTTTAGTCTTGTTCTGCCAAGAATCTCCTTTATAGAATTACACGTGCACTATTTATGTATTGCGGTTGTGTTGAAATATTCTGTGCTGAATACTGAAATACAAAAGTGTTTTCAAAATGTTTTCTGACTTATGAGTGTGTAACAGAAGAAACTGAGTTTTGGTTTAGAACAACTCTTTTTCTCTCTCTTTCTCTCTTGATGCAATTGGAAAGCCAGCTTCTCTCCCTCCTCAAAATGAACACGGTGAGAATGAGGGTGCATGAAAAGGTTCCTGCACCATTTCCCCAACAGACAGATTGCTGGATCCAACCCTATGAATCCTCTTGTAGTTCTACATATTAAGTTTGCAATGTAAGCAGAGTGAACACAATGTGAATTCCTGTAATCTGGCTGTTCAAAAGCTGAACAGTTTTTATATTCCGTTACATTCTAGCGTAATAAGCCATAGTCCATGATGGTTCGGTGGTTCTCAGTACCAGCCTTATCTGTGGCAGGCGGGGGCATGGGTTAAGTCTCTAATGAAGAAGGATAAGGATGTGCCATTGAGTCATAACAGACTCATGATGTCCCCAACTGTGCGGTGTTCAAGGCAACAGATGAGCAGAGGAGGTTTGCCATTCCCAGTCTTCCTTGTTGGTCTCCTATCCAAGTATGGATTATTACCATGGGTAATGCTGCTTGGCTTCCAACTCCTGACAAGCTCCAGGCTGCTAGCCCCTAATGGGCATTCCTCATACACATGAGAACTTTTTATACACATTTATGGGGCAAAGGAAAGTACTGCGGTTTGGCCACTTTGCTCTTTTGGAGGGCAGGGATGACCCAGCTCTCACTGAGAAGGAAGTATATGTGTGCAGTATGTCTTAACCGAATGCCCAAGCATTCACAATGCTTCTGCCCCATGTGGCACAATGATGGACGTTTTACCAGAATTCAAGAATGCGTCTAGATTTTGAGCGTTACTTCATTAGCAAGATGCCCTGTGCAGAAAACTGTTGCCTGGATAAGTTCCTAAAATGTCCACTGCTTTCTATTTTACAGCAAACCACGGGCTTCAATTTCCCTCCTGAAGATCTTGACTCATCAGGTGATGACGATGACTCTTTCTCTGGTTCTGGGGCAGGTATGTATAGCTCGATATGGGTCTGACTAGTTGTGGTAAACACTCCTTTCTTTCTGGCCAGTCTTGTCAATTGAGAACAGTGCTACAAGGCTCGTTCCGTCTGCACTATCCCATCAGTTATTGGAATACCGGTGGTGGAAAGTGCCATCAAGTCACAGCTGACTTATGGCGACCCCGTAGGGTTTACAAGGCAAGAGACATTCGCAATGCTTCTGCCCCATGTGGCACAATGATGGACATTTCACAGCCCTAGTATTCCTTGGAGGTCTCCCATCCAAATACTAGCCAGGTCTGACCCTGTTAGATTCCGAGATCTGAGGAGATCCAGCTAGCCTGGGCTAGAATTGGAGGGGAAGAAATGGTCTGCTAGGTGGGTGCCTAGAATTCAGGTGTTCAAAAAAGAAAGTCCTGATCTGCTTGGGCATAAAGGAGTTATGTTCTGAGTTTCCATTCATCTCCTTTTAAAGAAAGGTCTGTACACAGAGGGTTGGCTCCTTAAGGTGCTCTTGTGAAAACGGAGGGCACTTCCCGTCACTCAAAAAGGACCTGGTTTTCATGAATTTACCACTCCAGGTGCAGTCGGTAGTATTCCTGTGGGGGTCCCCCGATACTCAGGAGCAGCTTTCAGGGTGGGGGAGGTGATGGCTCGGGCTGCAAAAGAGAGTAAGAGGTGGCAGGGAAAGTGGAGCTGTGATTGTGGTTCTTTGGATCCCAAACTGTTGTTGGCTAGGTTAATTTAAAAACAAAAACAAAAACCTTACCTAATTCATGCTAACATCATCCACAGAACTTTCAAGGTAATGATAGAAGATCTCTTCCCTTTACAGAAAAGGGGGGGGGGGACCACAGTAGTTCAGCGAGTGAGTCTTTGCACATCAGAAGTCATACAACTCTAAAACTAGATGGAATACGGGGTTTGTGTGTTAATTTTGAAGAGGGGGAAATGAGTTCTTGTAGCACTGATAAGTAATTGCTATAATCTGGCCTTGGGGAAGTGGAGTTGAGCTGTGGTCATGGAGTGCAACTCCTACAAAAATCCTCTGATCCAGTGGCTGAGTCTTGTCTTTATGAGCTTGGTGATGGTCTCCCAAATACTGCCTAAAATAAATCTTGATGTTTTAGGTTCTCTGCCATCTGTGTCTGCCTGGGATGTTCCACTGCAAGAAAGCATAAACACATCATCAAGTCCTTCAGTGGCTCCTGATGTGGGAGATCATGACCCTGAAGCCCAAGGAACAACAGAGACAACTTCAGAAGACTATCAAAGAATACCTGTATCCCCAACAAACATGCATGTATTCCTCGTGAATGGTCTGATGACTGATAAGCCAGTGGGGAGTGTAGAAGAGGAAGTGGGTGTATTCACTGAGCAAGCTGTAACAAGCTCAGCAGTCGTAACAGCGAGAGTCCCAGTGACTCATCATACTTACACAGTGAGAACCACTACTTCACAAGCTTCTAGTACTGTTGGTGTTATTGAGCCTGTAGTCTACCACGATTTGTACCATGAAGTAAGTAGCAATGATAAAGAAGAACCTGCCAGTGATATTGTACCAACAATTAACAGTCTGGATGCTACCAGTTCCACTACAACATCCTTGGTTTTCATCAAGGATACTTCCTCTCAGCCTGAAGAAGGCATTTTGCCACCTGAAGATGGATCTGGAGATCAGGTAAGAATCCAGTTAGCTATCTGTGCACCTTAATGTTAATTTCACAAATTACCGTTGTTAAATCGTTTTAGGGTACGTTGTATACAGTGCTCCCTCTAAGCTGTGGAGTCTTGTGCACAGAAATTCTACTGTATGAGCTACTGGCATTAAAGTTGTGAGTGAGCAATTTGGCTACTGCATAAATTAGTTGGCTCTGGAGCTATCCTTATTGAGCTAAGACAAAAATGTGTGAGCCAGAGGCTAAAAAACGGAGCTAGCTCACACTAACTCAGCTTAGAGGGAACACTGGTTGTATAGTGTTTCCCTTGATTACGTTTTTCTCTAATTCCGTAATCTGTTTTGAGTCTCTGCAAAAAAGGCAGACTGTAAATAAACTAATGAGAAGAAATGTGATGTGGCTGATCTCTGTTCTTAGGGAGATTTCATGTTTGGTGGAACAGATGAAAAAGCAGAAATTGAAACTGAAATCAGGCCAGTGGAAGAAACTGGAGCAGGAAGCAGGTCACTTCATCCTGGAACACACGACACAAAATCTGCGGGGGCCTCTCAGGGACTTATGGACAGAAAAGATGTTCTAGCAGGTATGCAGAAATATTTGGGTGACAAAGAATTGTCCTTCTCCATGCAGTTCACATGTTCCACAATTTCTGAGATAGCATTGCAATTAGATCTAACATCTTCTCGTTCTAGAAAAGTTCTTTGACTCAAGTTCTTTGACTCTTGAGAGTCATCATGACGCTGAGAGAACTCAACTCCAGTCACATTTTGGAAGCAGTCACAGTGGCCGTTGACCACAGGGCACTGTTAACCATTCTTGGAGCAAGCTAGAACTATTTTTAACCATCTTACAGCTGGAAGCTGGTAATGAATTAGGTCTGCCATTTCCCTGGGGGTGGCAGGCAGAGTCCCGCCCATGGGCTTCAAACCCCGTCAGGTTTGCAAAAATGTGGGATGTGGGAGCATGTCCCTTCTGGTTGTATCCAGAGATAACATCAAGATGCTCTAGGCCGGTGGCTCCCAACCTTTTCTGTAATGGTGACCCACAAATCCAAATTATTTGGTATGATGACCCATCCAGGGCTGGCCCAAGGTTTTTTGGTGCCCTGGGCAAACGATGACCTTGGCACCCGTCCAGTTCAGCATTCCATTTTTTTATAGTGGCTAACCAGACGTTTTTGAGAAACCAGCAGACTTTGTGCAGAGGGTGCAGCTGCCCCCAATATGAACCCAAGCAAGTGGCATCCCAACATAAACAGCCGTTGCATGTGGAGGCTATATCTCAGCTTTTGACCATCTTCTCCATCACTCCCTCTAACCCCCCCCCCCGCTTCTATGCTCACTCTAGTGACCGTCAGGACACGTTTTACTCGATCAGCTTCACGTGGATGCAGTGGAGAGAAAAATAGCAACTAATGGTTGGCATGGAAGAAATACTGTTTCCAGATTCAGATCTTGGTTTCCAAAATACAAAAGAGAGCAGTGGAAAGGCCGTAGGGACCATTAGGGAGGGCTGGTCTGTGACCCACTTTCAGAGGCTTCATGACCCACTTTTGTGTCCTGACTCACAGGTTGGGAAACACTGCTCTAGGCATTACTCAAATTTCTGTAGTTCTTACCATTAGAGAACCAGAGCACCCGGTAACCGTATAATGAGTAGCTGTATTCCTCAGTATCACTAGTGAGAAGTAGCTTAACACAGACTCTGTAGGTACCTTATTCCTGTGTTTGCTGTGTTAAGTTGGCAGTGTTTTTTCTGTTAAAAAGAAAAATCCATATGAGATCTTTACTCATATGGTATCCTTGGCAGTTTCTACCATACCACTGTCCTAACTCAGTTGTACTCTACAACTCCTTAGAATTTGTGGCTATAGGCTGTGTTGCAGAGTTGAAATCTGGCTCGTGCGTAATCAAGAATTTTCTTGATTTTTGACTGCATGCAACAAAGGGGGTGTAAGCCCCAAAGAATGACTTTATAGACTTCTTTACTTGGGTTGTGGAACTTCTCCATTTCTTGGTGGCATCCTTCTGTTGTGCAAAGTTCTAGTTGATCATAAATGATTAAAAGAGCATGGATCTTTGTCTCATTATTGCTATTCTAGAGGGGGAAAACTCAACCACTAATCCTTTCCTTTTCCCACAGGGGTCATTGCTGGTGGACTGGTTGGCTTGCTGTTTGCTGGTTTCCTAGTTGGGTTCATGTTGTACCGAATGAAGAAAAAAGATGAAGGAAGTTATTCACTGGATGAACCGAAACAATCAAACGGAGGCTATCAAAAACCACACAAACAAGAAGAATTTTATGCATGAATGAACTGAATTTAAGGACACTTTGTTTTTGCTTGGATTTCTCTTCTGTCTCTGGACATCGGGAGTTCTCGCTGCATTTTAAAGGGGGGAAAAACTACAAGCCATAAGACTGAGTGTAAACCTCTGCCTCCTTACTACTGGGAACGACTATATTTTTCCAAAATCAATCTGGATGAATAAAACCCTAACCTGCTTTCTTGCACAAAGATCACCTATAAAGTTGGACAGATGGGGGGGGGGACTACCTTTGTCTTATCTAAGGACTCCTGGGGGAGATCAATAACAGATTGTATATAGCCTTAATGTCTTAGAAAATGCTAAGTAATTAGTAAAGTATAACGTGTATATTAAAGACCCTCCCCCACCCTTCAGCCTCTATTGGCCACAAGTGAGTATTCTTTTATACGTTTAAAAAGGCTGCTATGTGGCTTTGAAAGGTAAAACTGTGGAATGATTATATCAGCAAGTCACTTAATCTTGCAGCTCAACACGAGAATCAGGTGGAGGGAGGGAAGTCCTCCCAGAAAGCTAAAATATTTGTCCAAAGTGGTGAGATTGCTAAACTGTAGCCCTTGCTAGGGCAGGGTTGGCTTTCTTCTAGAATGCCTTGAGAAACAGAGAGAAAGAGAGAGATCAATGGGATAAATTTATACACTGTGCTTTAGAATCTGAAGCAACACCGACTCCTGGGGAGCGGGTATTTTGAAATGTGCACATTTTCCCCCCAGTTCCTTCTGGTCTTATTGACTGTGGTGTTATCCCTGTTTGCAATGTATAAAGTCCATGGTAGTAGTACTGGGGCCACCACTTGGTTATCTACCTCTTCTGCATTACCTTTTCACGATAGATCTCCCAAACTCACCTTACCATGCAAGGGTGTGGCACAGAGCCATACAGGACC